AGAAGGTGACCGAGGAACTTTAATTTGTTGTAACCAAAATGACATTTCTCTGGTTTCAGTGATAGGCCTGCCGTGCGAATTGCAGCAAACACAGATCCAAGTCGCTGCAAATGCTGCTCAAACGTTCGGGAGAAGGCAACGACGTCGTCTAAGTAAACAAGGCATGCTTCCCACTTGAGACCGGAGAGCACTGCATTCATCATCCTCTGGAATGTCGCAGGGGCAGAACACAGACCGAAGGGCAGCACCTTGAATTCGTACAGACCATCAGGCGTTATGAATGCTGTTTTCTCTCGGTCGCGTTCATCAACTTTGATCTGCCAGTAGCCACTGCGTAAATCCATAGAGGAGAATTATCGGGCGCGTCGGAGGCGGTCTAGTGAGTCGTCGTTGCGCAGAAGCGGATTAAACGTCTTTCTTTGTGACTTTGTTGAGTTTGCGGTAATCGACGCAAAATCGGAGAGTGCCATCCTTCTTTTTTACTAGTACGACGGGGGACGACCATGGACTGTTCGAGGGTTGGATAACGCCATCTTCGAGCATCTGCTTCACTTGAGAACGTATAGCCTCTTGTTCCTTTTGTGATACTCGGTAGGCGTGCTGACGTATGGGTCACTCAGAATGGTCAGTGACAATGCGGTGCTTTACGGTTGGCGTTTGTTTTATCTTAGATGTAGACGCGAAACAGTCGCTTAACATGCGGATTTGCTCTTTCTGCGCACATGACAGCTTCGGATTGACATCGACTGCATCGGCTACCGTGGTGTCACTTTCAACGGCTGCAGAAATTGGGGCTATTGTTGTACACGCTTCATCGTCAATGGATTTGAAATGAGCGATAGTTGTTCGCTTGGCCAAATGTTGGTATGCTCCACTAAAATTGGTGACCAACAACTCAGTCATCCCATGTTTAAATTGAATTATGCCGCGGGCAACGCAGATTTGCTGAGACAAGAGCACCGAAAGGTTGGCTTCAGCGATACCACTACTGTCATGGTCTATGTCGCCCTGTACTGTAACGAACATACTGGGGAGTGGCGGAAGTGTGACGGTGTCGTCGACAATGCGAAGCGCAGTCTTCTGCGCATTGGTATCTCTCGGCTTCGGGCCATAGTCGTCAGCAAACGTTACGAGGCAGTCTCGAAGATTTATAACAGCGCCGTGCTCACGAAGGAAAGCCATGCCAAGGATAACTTTGCGGGAGCATTCGGGAAGCACAACGAAAGAAGCAATGAACGTCGACTCACAGATTTGCAGCCTTGCGGTGCATCTCCAGATTGGTGTCAAGAGATGACCACCGGCTGTCCGAAGGTTTGGTCCATGCCCCCAAGGAGTCGTGACTTTCCTGAGTTCAGCCACAAGTTCAGCGCTGATAACTGAATAGTCGGCGCCGGTGTCGACCAGAGCAGTCACTGGATGGTTGTTGACACGGATGGCAATGTCAGCAGAAACGGGTTCGTCAGCGATGTGAGGTGTCGGCTGAAAGGAATCGCCGAAGGTTGGTGGATGAGTCGGAGGAGGCTGTTTTGATGATAGCTTAACAATGGTCCCACCCCAGAGGCCGCTGATTCTAGGTTCTCCGGCGTGGACTTGAGGACCTAGCGGATCGTCCCACGACAACATCGGCAAAAGTGGAGTATTGAATCGCGGACGTAGAGCGCCGAGGAGACGGAGAGCGTGATTGGCGTCACTTGAGACTCGGAGACGGTAGACTTGCCAAGTATTCTGCGATGGCGCGGGGTCGTTCGCCGTCCCTGGGCCGACGAGCGTCTGGCCAAAATCCAGGTAGGCCCATCTGTCTCTACGATCACTCCCGGTACAAGTGACCTGGCTAACCACAGTGGTAGCATAGTGGCCGATTGTCGGAAGCGCGCCACACGCTAGATTTCCGCAAATTAGGTCGCGGATTCTCGTAGTGTGGTGGGCCCGAGAAGTACTGCGGCATCTGCAGGCAAGTCGGTCGTTGGTTTTCATAGCGTGGCCCGCCCGAGAAGTGTGGTGGCGTCTGCAGGCTAGTCGGTCGGGGGAAATAGCTGGCTGTCGGTGCAGGAGTACGTACAGCTTCCGCATACGTTAACAGAGGAGCTTCGGTTGAAGGTGGCGCTAATGGTCGTACCAGCTGCCGCACCTCTTCATGGACGACGTCTGTCAGAGCAGCCACTTGAGGCTGTGAAGGCACTGCGTCAAGCTTTTGCAGCTCGTCGCGTACAATGCTACGGACTACCTCAGCAAGGTCTCTCACGCTCGTGACATCGGGTGTTACCAAGGGTGCTGACAGACATGCAAGGTTGTCGGACCGCTCATACTGCGAAGACCGCTGTCTTAGCATTCGCTCCATTGTCGTCGCATCACGGAGGAATGCTGCCACGGTAGCTGGTGGGTTTCGTACAAGTCCGGCAAACAGCTGCTCCTTGACACCCCGCATCAGAATGCGTACCTTTTTGTCTTCCGTCATTGCAGAATCCGCTCGACGGAACAGACGAGACATCTCCTCAACGAACATGGCCACGCTTTCATTGGGTATTTCATTGCGAGTATTGAGGAGACGTTCGGCTTGTTCTTTCCGGTCGGCGCTACCAACGTGTTCTGCAGCTGAGTGCAAAACACCGGCCAGGTTGTCAGGGCGGCCTCGTAATTCTCGAACCAAATACGCGCCGAATCCTCCAGGTAGAAATAGACGTACCGCAGTTTCCGGTGCTCGTCCCTCTCGTTGGCGATGGCGACTCGATCGTATTGGTCCAGCCAGTCTTCAACGTCTTCCTAGGGCTCCCCATAGAAGGGCTTTGGCGTTCGAGAGGCTGGTAACCATGGTGCTGGCAAAGTGGTGGTCTGTTCAGTCTGGTTTGCAGTTGTCGCATATGTCATGGTTCTGGAGCGTTCCGAAAGAGGGCTGAATTCGTGTGGTAGGCCTAGTTGCCGCCTACGGCGTCGAAGGTGGGCTGTTTCTACTAAGGCGTCGATTTTGGGACCGAGATCTTCCTCGTGGTAACAGTGCATAGACTATTACCCAGCGCCTCCACCAGTGTCACGTTACAACGTAACTGTAAGCTGCAGATAATGGCACACAAGGACGTCAAACTGATTCGAACAACGGCAGTATGAAGATGATGATGATGATGATCCTTGATACTCTGGCGCACACCCACAAAGGGGGATCGGCCAAGAACCGGGCGGCAGGATCTTAACTAAAAGGCTTAGGTTTTTCAAACAAAACGTAATTTTGGGCTGAAAAAAATATAGAATTAAAAGACAGTATGACTATTGTTTTTCTCTGCACACGCATCTTTGTCCCCTTTTGAACAGCGGCACATACAAGCATGCCAGCATATGTGGAAATAATACTTTCAGAACTTGTACTAGTGGTAATATATAGCAGATACTTTTGGAGCAAACAAACAAAACTTGTGCAGAAAACGTAACAACAGTAACAATTCTTCATAAATACAAGCAAGATGGTTGGTACATGCGAAATAATATCTAAAAAGTCAGGCATCAAGCAATATCGGGCAAGTATACAAGAAACAATTGCTATTCATTGCTTGAAAGTAGACACAAGCTGTCTGTCGTTAGATTAAATTTATTTAACACCTGAGGGAAACTGGACTGCCACATCTGTAAGCTATAGTTTGTTCGCAGTCATGTACATGCTAGAGTTCTGTGCCATGAGAAGTAAATTATGACATTCATCATAAACGTGTCGTGATTTTCATGTTATGACTAGTCACTTAGGCTCGTCACACAATCGTGTTGTGCCATAAAAATTTTGGTATAAGTCCCATCATCGAAACGGCCAGGACAGCTGAAAGTCGTAAGCGCATAGATAGATAGATAGATAGATAGATAGATAGATAGATAGATAGATAGATAGATAGATAGAGCTGATGTCATCGAAGTTAGTTCAGAAATGCTTTGCATTAAAAAAATAAAACTAATTGCCGTTGTTAGAGGTCAAACTGAAAACCGTACAATTATGCATCAAATGCCCCAGAAGTTTAGCGATGATGGCAGCCATTGCCCCTTCCAGTTTCTGGGGTGTTTGTGTACGTGTTTTATTTATTCGTGCAAAAACACCCGATAAACTGGAGAGGGCTGCTATCGCGCCACTCGACACCTCGATGCTCACTTGCTTGATACGTGCTCATAGGCACTGCATCGATATGAAGGAGTGACGGGCGCAGCGGCATACAGCACATGTTATGTTTTGGTGGCGTGAGTGAATAATTAATTATGAGAACTTGTCCTATTGAATCTATGCCCACCTGTAAACACTTCTGAAGATGTTCCGGTAGAAAGCGCTCGCGAATATGGTGAAGGTCAGCAGGGGACCGCTGTTGAGGCGTGAGAACTCAGATTGAGGTACTGCACGAAAGGAGTTCTGTACCGGGTATACAAAAACAGGGAACAGAAAATATGTAGAAGATGTTCGTAGCATACAGTTTTTTTTGTTTGAATGTAGAATGAACACAGTTCACCATACCTAGTCAATGAACTAAAAATATTTTTGTGCAGAAGTAAAAAGAATTGTATAACGACATAGCATACCTTCTACAGTACATTTCTATAAATAAAATATTTGCATCCGAAGCAAACAGACATCAACAAAAAGTTTGACACAAGTTCACCTAAACTATGTACGAGAGGTCATCATACAGAAACAGAAAAACTGCATATTCATACACAAAACAGTAGGTGTATTCTAACTGGAAAATTATAAGGTGAGCCCCCTTTTTAATTGTTTTTTGTGATACTCTAGGACACTCGGTCACGTTGGTAATCATTCACATTGCTGAACGACTTGTGAAATGTTGGTACGACCGACACTGTGATGGCCGCTTTCAAGCGATGCACACCAGTACAGAGCGATACAAGCTCGTCCTTTGCGTAGACTGAAATAGGCTTGGCCGAGATAGTGGCAGGCCATATTTTATCTGTATTGCCAGTCTAGCTCAGACACAAGCCCGGTCATTGTCGGTATTGCTGTTCGGGCGGAAACCCGATCTCGCTGACGAAGCCATTTTCGCACCCGCATGTACTAGAACGTACGTACGAGCATTCTCTTTTGACATCGGCGACGAATGAGCCCCATGGGCCGTCTCGTCGTATGGACGGCTGAGCTGGTTTCGGTGGCGCGGCTTTTTTTGTGATCTGCTCTTTTATCCGATACGGCTAATCTTCCGATAGATTGCGGTTGGGGCTCGTCAAGCTGAGCAAGGGCGACGAGTGCAGATAGGGCTTCTTTCAGCTTCGGGGACCTCACATCCAGTGCGAACACGCTGCGCTTCTTCACAGGCGTCCACTCGAGGTGCCTACCAAGGAACGCCGTGTCTGCGTTTGTGCTTGCTGGTGAGTACAAGTCAAGTGGTGACGAAGTTTACGAAACAATATGGTTTCGTTCTATTTAGGCCGTGTAGCTTTCTTATTACTTCGGTGTCTCCTAAATCTATAAGTTGAAAACAGCCCAAAGGCACATTATGTCAACGTAGTTCACGTTTGTAGCAATGTTACAAAATATCTGGGATGCCGACGTGCAAACACTTACAAATTGCTGAAAAATGCAGCGGAGTTGATTGCTTGAACGTAGAGTTGGTTTTACGTCTAAGTGTGTGATTATCGCTGAAATACAGAAATTCACGACCAGTGTTGGTCTCTAACAACAGAAAACATTGTGGTTTCCTCAAAGATTTTTCGTTCTAAATTTTATTTTTGTTGCATAGTTCTGTTCCATATTTTATTTATGTTGCATTGTTATGAATTTCAGTATAAGTAAGCTTGTTACAGCACTTTGTTGTATTTAGACAAATGAAAACAGCAGTACTTGTATCACGCCTCAATTTATGCATATGCGTATTTATACGCCTACATATGATCTCGACATGTGACTCGCAGAAACGTAAATAAACGAACAGATAAATATCTTGCCTGTGACTGTTTAGTATTGTTATTTGTAAAAGAACGCGCAACCTTTGAGGAAAGAATTCTCCCGACATTCTAATGACGTCGGTTTGTTTCGCAATTGTTGTTGTGACATCGCTGCTTAACCACTTTCAGTAGCTTTTACGATGTGACGACGTGATTCTTTTCCCAATGACGTGGTCGTGCCTGGTTGCAGTGGTATCTGCATTTCAATACACGAATTCTGGCGTAGATATAGATATAAATAATTCGTACGTAGATATAGAGGGCGATGAATAGCAAAAGTCATACAAAGTTTATTTGTACAGGCTCCAACGGTTTTATTTGTGGTACGTTCAACCGTTGTTCCAATATTTCAAGCTAAAAAAAAGCTTAGCATTGTTCGCTGTCCTGAAGAGCAGAATGTGTTTCCTCGAGAGTGGGACGTGTTTAAAAGTGCTGAAAAACAACCATGATGCAAGATGAAAACACTGCGTTTTAGATCTGTGCAGCGCAATGCAAGCTCTGGTTCAAGTATGTCTTAGCAGTCGGTAATTCTTGTTCTGTTTCAAGCGCGCTCTTTCACAAGCAGCAGAGATCTTGTTGACGCTGGCTGTGGCTACGGAACAAAAGCCATGTGATGTGAACAAACACTCCCCCCAATTATTATCAGGGTTCGCGCCAGCATCGTACCGAAGTAATCTGCATGACAGGTACTCCAAAGTACGATGGCAGGGTTCGAGACTACTTTGTATTTTGTTGTTCTGAATATTGGTTCTTGATTTAGTACATACTGCAGTCCGTAGACCAAGCAGAAGGGGTGAAGAAAGATAACAGCGTAGAAACAAAGGGAACACGTTTTGACAACAAATTTTTATACTATCCTACGCAATAACTTAAAAATAATTACGCACCAAATAGAGTGAAATAAATATAAAATTCTAAAAAAAGAAAGAAAAGAAGTGCATGATTTGCTTGAAACAGTCCTAAGCAACGAAGTAACACAACGCATCTGAGCTCATGATATGACGTTATGAAGCATGGTGTCAATAATGTTGGCTAAGCAAAAGGATGCATGAATTTTTCAGTCAGGAATGCTATGTTCAGGAAAAGCATATGTAGGCAATGTATTTCATTCACTAATTGTTCGTGGAAAGAAGGAGTGTTTGAAAAGGTTAGTACGTGCGAAGTATGGTGTCACACCATGATTATGTCTGGTTTGCCAGGAAGAAGACAGAGATAGGCATTTATGAGGATCGACATTTAACTTAAGCAGGAAAAGAAACTTGAGTCTGGTGATAGCTCTTCGCTGTTTCAAAAGTGGATAGTTGTTTGTGGCCATAAGTGATGAAGGTGAAACAAGATTGTGATAGACATTTTAAATGAATCTTACCGACCTTCTGTAGGCCATTTCAAGTTTTTAAATGACTTTTTTAAAATATGGGTCCACAGGCCACGCATGCGTAATCAATACGGGGTCGTATATATTTACCGTATGCAAGAAGTTTAATTTGTGATGGAGCGTTTTTTTAGTTTGTGTCCTAGAAACCCTAATTTTCTAGAGGCGCAGGAACAGGCATCGTCAATTTGGTTGCTCCACGATAGTCGATTGGTACTTTTTACTCCTAAGTATTCAAAATTGTTCACTCCAATCAATAGGTCAAGTATTGAACCAACAGGAGAGAGAATTTCGGTTGTTCTGCAAGCACTCTTGATTCCTTTCACTTGTAATTAGCTTGTAAAGAATGCAATAATCTGCAAAGTGTTATGGGCCTATGACAGAGGTATCATCTCATGAAATGATATCAAGAATAAAGATGAAAAAGAAGGCAGGGCCTAGGACGCTACCCGGGAGAACTATCGAGGTTACAGGCAAATCCCAGAGCTGCAGGCTTTGACGTGAACAAACTGCTTCCTGCTGGTGAGGTAAGAGTGAATCCACAGAATTATGTTAATAGATCGGCCAATGTTTTAAAGTTTCGTGAGTAGTTTACCATAACAGACACAGTTTAACGCTTTTCTAAAGTCCAAGAATATGGCGTCTATTTGGTCGCCCAAATCAAGTGCTATTGCAAAGTCATGAATAGTGGTGACGAGCTGGGTGATAGTCGAGAGGCCTTCTTAAAACCATGCAAAAAAGGCGTCAGAAAAATTGTTTACTTCAAGAAATGACATTATGTAGTGTGTGACGATGTGCTCATGAAGTTTAGATGGACCGGAAGTTAAAGATACAGGGTGGTAGTTTTCATCAATCAGATGATCCCCTTTCTTAAAAACAGGAATAACACCCATGGTGTCCCAGTCATCGGAAAAGATATCATCACGAAAAGAAAGGCGAAAAATATGGGTGAAAACATGCGCGATATGTTCGGCGTAACAGTGCAGAAATACGTTTGGTATACCATCTGGATGTTTCGTATATCATCTGTATTTTGTACAGCTCCTACCGTTTTCTGTGCAAAATAACTGCCAGTTTTTATTGTTTTTAAATAGGATAACTGTGCCAGATGATAATTGAGTGGTCGGGTTTTACATCACATATGTTTTCACTGCGTTATTGAAAAACGCAGTGGCAAATTTCACTTTTTTTCATGTGGATAAGAAGTGTTTATTTTTATTCATTCATCTCCGACCAGAATTTTGCGCAATGATCGGGAATCTTATACACGACGTTGCGCACCGCAGCTCAAAAGCACGCTGCCACCAATGCTGTAACCCCTTTAAAACTGCACTGCACATGCCTCGATAAAAATTGCACAAGTTTACATTCATGCCATGCAAATATTTCTGAAAGTGCCAGTCACCGTATACATTCAAAATGTTCGCTTTCGAAAAAGATCCGTTTTTTGTATGGCTGCCATCTACGTGGGGGAAGACCACTGCATGCTAGTCACGTCTCTCAGTACTCTAAATATTGTGTTTCTTCATTCATTCATATGCTACAAGCAAATTTCCACACTATGAGCAGTAGGCCCTTCCGTGACCCCTTTCTTTTAAAAGCTGTGGCTTTAGAAGATAGCAATGTAGGAATTTCTGTCGAAGGAATGCAGACACGCAGCTCTCTATGCTTCTTATGTGGTTCCTAAAGGAAAAAGAAGAGAAAAGTAAGCCCGTAACTCTCTGCTTCAGGCGTGATATCTCAAAAGTAGCTCACAAGAGGTGGGGGTTCACCAGGGTTAAAAGGGTAGGATTAAACGGTATATATAGAAAGAGGAAAAAGAGAGCGAGGCGCGGGCACAGCGAGCGACGGAAGTAAAAAGAAGATAGAAAAGATGGACACGTTCGCAGAAGTCCGAGGATAGGGCACCACTCGGCGAGAGCTCTTGTCAGCGTCAGAAGATGGCATGAAAAGCGTCAGAAGATGGCATGAAAGCATGAAAGCTTTCTTCCCTGGAGCCAAAAAGTCAATAACCAAAAGCCGCTTAAGCGTCCGAGATGGTGTTTTTTACCAGAAGAATTTGTGGACATTGAGCGCGCGTTTTCTGCTGTTTGTTCTTGCATCCCTTCAAACGTCGGTTCAGCGTCTCACGCATGATGTCTCGACCTCTAGCCATTAGGAACCGCATGAACACTTAGACGTCCGAAAGGCTGATTTTATTGTCCTAAAATGAGCAAGACAAGTCAAAAGTACGTGGCCATCTGTACGCAGTGTCAGAACCACAAGCTGCCCATCCCACGTCCAGTCGGTCACCTGCAGCTCGTGAAACCCTCTGGTTCCATTTTCAAAAAAGTTGGCAGATCCCACGTAAAGGGGGAATCGATTATATGCAAAGCATGAATGAAAAATGTTGATATGTCACTTTAAAATAAGCACAACATCACGAGGTTGAAGTAAATGATGCCATACTTGACTTCCGTGTTATGATTATCATGTTTGGACATTTCGTTTACCTTCGTCATCAATTCGCGTCAAGTGATACCAAATTTAGTATAGGCGGAGCTAGCGAAACGGCCACGAACACGCTATGAGCGTGGTATGTTGTCATGTTCTTACAAGACATTACAATTGCACCATTCCGCATCTTAACTTTCAATGAATGCTTATCAGACCCTGGGACAGCTTTTCCATAATGTAGGCACCTATTACTTCCCTGGAACAAAGTGTTATTGCGGTCGAGAATACTGGAAGTGGCCATAACCAAACTTCGCTGCCTGGTTACCTCCCTCAACTTTTACCTGCATAAGGCAAGTCAAGCGTTGTCTCCTTTGTGTATCTTCTGCAAGTAGGAGGAAGCAATCAGTCATTATTTTCCATCCTGTCGCCGGTATACGTCATTGAGAAGATTCATAGCATCACCTCTTCAAAACTTGGGTCTGGAAACATCCGAATCAGTTGTTCTATCATTCGGCGCCACTACTCTGGGCTACAGTCACAGGGATGTTTAGTACCCCATAGAGGAATTTATCAGTCCGACTAAAAGAATGTAGAGTTAAATTCTTCTTTTTTTATC